AGGGAAGGAAGGAAAGAGTGAAGGGAGGAAAGGAGGGAGGGAGGGAGGGAGGGAGGGAGGGAGGAAGGAAGGAAGGAAGGAAGGAAGGAAGGAAGGAAGGAAGGAAGGAAGGAAGGAAGAATGAATGAATATGGGGTGTTAACGAAGGTCCAGAGGCCCGCTGTAGGAAAGGCGAAACCCAGACATTCACAGGTACACCCGCAAAACCGGGTCTGCTCCTTTGGAGACCCTCCACCCACGAACCAGCCAGCGGGATTGTCCAAGCTTCTTCTGCCTCTTTGCAAGCGGGCCTTTGTGCTCCCAGGGTTCCACCCCAGCCCTCGAAGGCTCACCCGGCCGCAAGCAAAGCCGGGCCTGATTCTGCGCTTCGCCTTGAGAAATAAAAAGTCCTACCACTTGTACACTCAGGTCCTCGAGACACTGAGGACACGTTCGCACTGGCTGGGAAAGGAAATCTTCTCGCCCGAAAGGGGAGCTCCAAAGTGGCGTCAAACCCAGGGCTCTCTACCCCACCTCGGAAATATCCTCCTGTATATTGTAGCCTCAAAAAGCCCGGGGGTGGGGGTGGGGTGGGGGTGGAGCAGGCGAAAGATTTGCTGTGCTCCCCGTCCCTCCTTCAAGAAAGGCAGATAGACAGAAAAAACAGTTTGAGGTTTTTGAAATCTAAAAAAAAAAGAAAAAAAAGAGAAAAAGACCTGCGTTCAATCGCTTTTGACAGAAGTTTTGGCTCTCCTGAGAGATAATATGAACTTCTCCCACCTAAACTGGATCTGAGTGAGGACTCCCAGCTGAATGCAAACATTTATGTGAAGGAAACCGTTTAATTAAAAATAGCACGTATGCAGATAACACAGGGGGGGGGAGGGAGAGAGGGAGGGAGGGAGGGAGGGAGAGAGAGAAAGAGAGAGAGAGAGAGAGAGGTTGCACTGTATCTGTTATGAAAAAAGAACACCAATTCTACTATTGTGAGCTCCTTCCAAAGTCACTATTTCAAAACCTGCATCTCTAAAGACTTCCACCTTCTATCTGAGGAGTGATTCAAAAGCCACTAACCTCCTGTCCCAAATGGCGCAACCTCTGAATATTAAGAGACATTATTATTATTTTTTTGTATCACTGAGAATTACTGCTTGCCATATATGCTAGATCTGTGCAATCTCCAAACAGATGTCCGAATTCTCCATATCTCTGTCCCTGAGAAATGTTCATGGCATGCAAATCACACATTGTGCTGGCTACCCATGGTATACAGGCAGGCCCCAAGCTTCAAAATCAACTTAAATCTCCCATTAAGTTTGCAGGCCTATATTCTTGCTGTGTTATTACCAACTAGCATCATTACACTACCAACACGAAAAAAATCTGCCTTATCCATTAGGCATAGAGTTTATCCCAAAATGTCATGAAATAAAGGGGGTGGGGATGGGGAGGGGGGTCAGAGAGTCCATTTCAACAGAAATAACTATTTTCTCTTCCCCTTGAGAGAAGGAAGTACACACACACACACACACACACACACACACACACACACTATTTTGTCACTCAATATCCCCTCCTCGACAGCAAAAAATAAAGGACATGCCAATAAGTCGAAGAAACTATAAAGGTCTTGTGTATTTCTGTTTTATGTAGATAATAAAATATTACTTTAACATAAATATATAAGGATCTCTGCGCTTTTATTTTTCCCCACGAGCACATCCAAATGTACCAAAAAACAAAGTATTTCTTTAGAGAGACTGAACCAAAAAAAATATACATCCCATATAGAATTTTTGTTTGTTTGTTTACCTACTCATTTAAAGCTACAGAAAAAAAAAAAACCAGTTTCCAGAACCTGTTTGCTTTAGAAGAAGAAATAAATATACATTGAGGCAGGCCACTTAAAAATGATATGAAAATATTTCCCTGGGTAGCATTTAAAAAGAAAAAAAAATAGACAAAGGAAACATTTCAACTATTTCTGCATTTCAAAGGACAAATATTAAACATATATACAGAGTGGTAAGGTTTGCTTGGTAACTTTTTTTAAAAATTATCTTTAGGAAAATCTTGCCAAGAGTTAGGAGGTCTACTTTCTCCAAACTCCTTCTTTTGACCTTACCCAGGTATTAATAAGTTTTACTGTCCTCCTGCTGCCACTTCTTCCTCCCTGACCTGAATACCAATAGATAAGGAGTTTGTCTCCATCTTATAATCAACAGCAGCCACAATAGTCTCAAAAGAAATCAGTATCCACATTGTTTGGATGGGGGAGAGAGGGGAGGATCCCTACAATGTGAACATAGACTAAAGACTGCCTAGAAAGCTACATTTGTCTTTTGAGGAAACGGGGGAGATTGAAATCCAGTGTCAGACTGAGGCTTAGAGCAACCCTTGGAGACCAAAATATTCTGAAATCCAACTGACCTAATCCAACCTTTTACCTGTAAAGTTCTCCAAGAGAAGATTCAGCTGGCCTCAGAATTTTCAATAATTTCATCAGGCAAACTTTTTTTTTTTTTTTTTGTAAAAATTATTAGAAAACAAAGTTACACAGACACCCCCGTTTTGTGCTGAGTAGATGTTTTAGAATGAATTACGATCACAGTTTCAGTGGTTACCCCTAATATGGAATATAATACACAATTTCAAGGCCCTCCCTCAGCTCCCTCCTCTCTAAAACCTTCTGCCTTCTTGTTTTTGGTTTGTTTGGGGAAAGTTAACCATTTCCATCAAGTCAATGTACCCATTAAAACCATGAACCCAGAGGAGGAGGTAAAGGATGAATTGAAAAATGTCATTTAGGTTGGTTTTTTATTCCCACTCCATTTAAATCTCTTCAAAAAAAAAAAAAAAGACTGGTAGAGTTAAAGCTGGTCTTTTTCCATCTCCTCTACATTAAGCTGATATGTCAGGCAGCATTTGGGATGCTAAACCCTAGAGGGAAATTTTCCCACCTGCCCAAGACCTCAGCAACTGTTAAGCTCAGACCGCCTCCTCAACTATGCCCTTGACTTTGAAAGCAGATCTTCACAGTCATTTTTTTACTTGGAAATCAATCCCACAGATTCCAGGGAATGAACATCTTTATCAAGCCTGAACTCCTCCTATTTCAATGGGACTAATTCTATCCAAAGGAAGCACTCTTTTGATAGAACCTCTCTCTCTCTCTCTGTCTCTGTCTCTCTCTCCTTCCCTTGAAGTCAAACCTCCCCCTGAGATGAAGTCAAACCTCCCTCTGGGATCTAGGATGAGTTTTCTTTTCTTTTCTTTCTTTCTTTCTTTTTCTTTTGCCATGGATGCAATTCTTCCATCTCGGAACTCACAGTGTTAAGCTCGGGAGGTGGAAGCCAGCCAGCCCCATTGAAAGTGGGCATCCCTTAGGTTTTTAATCTTTGATAAAGCAAATCAAAGGGAAATGCTCTACCTTAGGATCACAGAGTTGCTCCTCTGAGCTTTGTTACTTTGATCAGCGAGGTTTTCCCTTTCCCCAGACTGAAGGGTTTTGCCTTCAGGGGCTCCCCCTGCTTCCTTTCACATTGAAAAGCAGATGTCACTTTCACTGTCCTAAGGTTCATGTAAGTGCTGGATATGCAAGGCATATAGGGACCTTTCTCAAGTGAAACAATCCCCTTCCCTCCCCCCTCTCTCTCCTTCTACCCCATTGTTAGAGTCCTCTCCCCCAAGTGCCCCTTTCTGGTGGGAAAAACTGCCAGAGTTTTCTACGGTCCCCTCCCCCCCCCCCCCCCCCCGGTTTGGATCAATTAACTGTGGCTTGCCCAAATGTTTTGACTTTCCCCCAACTGACATTCAGAGAGGTTGGGCGAGGACAGCAAGGGCATGCTGGCTGGGATTAATGGGGCTATAGCTGAAGAATCCCATCAACTTGGGAGAAGGAGGCCTAAGGGAAGGTCTTCATTCTCCATCTTTCTTTCCCAATTCTCACATACCAACTATCTCCAGTTGCTGAATAATTTCAGAACCTCGTTTCTGGGAAGAAGCTGTTATTTATCCCCTCCCCACCTTTCCTCTTCCTCTTTCTACCGGTTTTCACAAGGCTAAAGAGCTCCGCTCACTTCCCCTCCCTAAAGGCAGGCTAAAGGCGCCAGAAAGAGCAAACTAAACTTGACTTCCACCAAAGGTGGTCCTCAAACTTCAAGTCACCCACGCCAAAAAGGAAAGGCCAGATCCACAGAGATGCCTACCCTGGGCCAGGTAGAAAATGCAAATCATTTCCCCCCCCCCCACCTGCGAATGAGAAAGAGATGAATAATGGACAAACATCCATTTCCAGCAGCACAAATTTGTCAGCTTGGCCTTTCTAAGCCCTCATTCTTACCTTCGCGTTTGACTGCATCTCTCTCTCTCCCCCCCCCCCAAAAAAATACCGAGACCAAAAAGTGTTGGAGATACACCTGGCTTAAATCCCTAAAGAATTGGGCTGCTAAATCAAGCCCAACGTTCCTTTTCTGCTCCTCTCTGATTTAAGAACCTGGGGGGGGGGGCTGTGCCTGGCTGCTGAGAAGAGAGAGAGGGGGGGAAGAGAGGGAGAGGGAGAGGGAGAGGGGGGGAAGAGGGAGAGAGGGAGAGAGAAAGGGGGGGGAAGAGAGAGGGGGAGGGAAAAAGAGAGAGCTCGTGCTGCGAGGCAGCGAGTGGAAGGAAGGGTCAGGCACCCTCTCGCCTCTCACACATCCCTCCGTATACTCACTGCACTCCATTGCCAGGTTACTCGCCTGTAAAGGTCAAAACACACCCTCATTCATTACCCACTTCGCTACCGTTTCAAGCATAGTTCAGTGCAGTCGCCTTCCTTCCTTCCTTCCTTCCTTCCTGTTTTGTTTTGTTTTTGTCTGCTTTTTGCTTTGTTTTAAAGGGGAGGGAAACAATCAAAAAGGATCGGAGGAGTCGGGTCAGAGGGAAGAGGCCTGGTGGGCTCGGCCCCCTCGACCCCCAGCCCCCTCCTCCTCCTCCTCCTCCTCCTCCGCCCCGGGCGGAGTTCACTGCACAGGAGTCTGTACCCCATGGTGCGGCGGCGGCGTGTCCCTGCTGGCCCCATACACGTCCTCGGCTCCCGGCAGAGCCCCTCCCGGGGGAGTCATGCGTTTCTCTTTCTGTCTCCTGTTACAAAACCACACGCGGACCACCTCCTTCTCGAGCTGGAGGCTGTCCGCCAGTGAGGTGATCTCCTGGGCGGAGGGCTTGGGGCACTTGAGGAAATGGCTCTCGAGGGCGCCCTTGACGCTCACCTCGATGGAGGTGCGCTTTTTCCGCTTGCGCCCCTGCGCCGCGATCTTGTCTATGCTGGTGGGGCTGCCGGACGAGGAGTCCGCCTCCTCCAGCCACTTGTTCAACAAAGGCTTCAACTTGCACATGTTCTTGAAGCTCAGCTGCAGCGCCTCGAACCTGCAGATGGTGGTCTGCGAGAAGACGTTGCCGTAGAGGGTGCCCAAGGCCAAGCCCACGTCCGCTTGGGTAAATCCCAGTTTGATCCGCCGCTGCTTGAACTGCTTGGCGAACTGCTCCAGGTCGTCCGAGGTCGGCGTGTCCTCGTCCGAGTGCGCCTCGTGGTGGTGGTGGTGCGGAGGCGGCGGCGGCGGCGGCGGCCCCCCGTGCGGGTGGTGGTGCGGGTGTTGGGGCTGCTGCTGCTGCTGCTGCGAGAGGTGATCCGGGTGGTGAGGGGGCGGCGGCGGCGGCTGCTGCTGGGGAGGCGGCGGGGGCTCTTCGTGGGCATCCCGCAGGCTGTGGTGGTGCATGCCCGGCTGGCCCGAGCCCAGCATCCCGTTGACCGTGAAGCCCGGCGGTTGAGAGTAGAGCAGCCCGCCTTGGCCGCCGCCGTTAGCCGCGGCCATGCCGGGCGGCAGGTGAGCCGAGCCGCCGGTCCTCCAAGCCACCGCCGCGGCCACGGCGGCGTGGTGGCTCCCGGCGTGGTGGACCAAGTGCGGGGGTCTGCCTTGCTGCTGCGACTGCTGGTGATGCTGCTGCTGCTGCTGCTGCTGCTGCTGCTGGAGCTCGTCGCCCCGGCCGCCGGCCTGCACCACCGAGGGCTTGATGTCCTGCTGGCCCAGCGGGCTGGGGGACCACGGCGAGTCCCCGCCGTTGCCGCCGCCGCCGCCGCCGCCTCCGCCGCCGCCGCCGCCTCCCCCGCCGCCGCCGCCGTGGGACAGCGCCGTGATCCACTGGTGAGCGTGGCTGAGCGGATGCCCGTTGCTCTGCAGCGCGTAGTCCGCCTGCACCAGAGCCTGGGCGTCTCTGTAGCCGGCGCCGGGCTGCATGCTCCCCGGCGGCTCGGCGTGCACCATGGGCGAGCTGGAGGTAAGCAGGCTGTAGTGGTTAGACGCTGTGGTCGCCATGACTCTCCGAGCCGGACTGAGGGCTCCGCTTAAAGGAGCCGCGCATTTGACAGCTACTTTTTCGCCTCGGGCTCCTCTCGCCGCTCGCTTCCCCCGCAAGTCCGCTTGGCAGAGCCCACTGCAAAGGCACGCGTCCCTTCTCCTCCCTCCCTCCGGCCCCCATTGGCTCCCTGCGCTTTGATTTACGTGGAGACCTCTAGCAACCGGCTCAGGGGGAGCCTCCCATTGGCCCCGGCCCTGGTGCTGACACCACGCCTCCTACACAGCGTCTCTCTCTCTCCTCTCTCTCTCCCCCCCCCATCTCTTTGTAATCAAACTCTAAGGAGGGAGAGGAGGAAGGAGCGCACGCACGTGGGGGGGGGGGTTGGAAAGGAAAAGGCAAAGAAAGGAGGTGGGGGGGGGGAGAGAGAAACAGATGAACAAGCACCGAGAAAGCAGAAGGAGCCGCTCAGTCGCTTCTGGCCACCTGCGCTGCGCCCGGTGGGTAGGGGAGCCAGATGAGGCTCACCCCCTCTTTCGAAGCCGTTCGAAACTCAGCCGCCTCTCCGTTGCAGGGAAACGGCAAACAGCACGCAAAGTGCTCCGGAGGGCCGGAGGAGGGGTGCCCCGGTTTGCTAATGGCCAACTTGATTGAATTCTTCCCTCCAGTCTCGTTTCTCTTATGGCACCCCCCTTCCCCCGCCGGCAAGACCCGGAGGGCTAAGGGACAGCGGGAGAGGGAGGAAAGAAAGAAAGAAAGAAAGAAAGAAAGAAAGAAAGAAAGAAAGAAGAAAGAGAAAGAAAGAAAGAAAGAAAGAAAGAAAGAAAGAAAGAAAGAAAGAGAAGGGCCAATCCATTCGATGGAAAGCAACGTCTTGCAGGCTGGATTAGAATCCCTTGCCTGCCGGGGCCTCTCCCCACGCTTTCCTTTGAGAGTCCAAATGGTTGGGGGGGGGGTCTTTCTTTGCCTCTAACGGAGCCACCTTCCCGGTTTGCAAGGAAGGCTCACTTCGAACGAGACTTTCTCTCGCCAACTTTGCACCGCGTTTTCAGGAGCGAGGTTCGCCCTGTCAGCGCTACTAGAAATATAGATAACCGCTCTCCCCGCTGGCTTGGAAGCGAGGCTCGTTGCTATCAATGGGATCCGATATTCTCCAAAGAAGTGCAATGTAGTGGCAATGTAGTTCGGCGCCGAGGGCTTTCCAGCCACCTCCCCCTCCCTATCTCCCTCCAAGCACGTCTCTATGGGTCTTGGCGCCCCATAATCCAAGAGAAACCTGCTCCTCATTGTCCGCAATGGAAGGATAAGAAAGATGGGGTGGGGGGGGGAGCGAGGGGGGGAAGGGTCTCCAAAGTGTCCCAGCAGCAGGTGCTGCTGGAGAACAAAACTTAGAATTTGAAGGCTTAGCCCTGCGCTAAGCGCAGAGGCGAACCTAAAGGGCGATGATTGTGTGCGGAGGTTTTCGCTCCCGGGAGACCACCGGCGAGTTTACAGTTCAGCCACTTTTCTTTCTTCACAAAGAAGGCGTGTTGTTCTTGCAGGAGCTTAGGGGCAGGGAAAGCGAAACAGCCCTGATCTAATACTATCCCCTCCCCATCCTTGATTAAATCCATTTATGACTTAAGTCCCTCGTCCGCGGGGGGGGGGGGGGGGAGGCGGGCAATAGCTGGGTCCGGCTTCTTAATAGATCCTCCAAACCAACCCTCTTAAAAGGAAGGTGTCTCACATCAACGCTTCGTTTCCAACAGAAGCGCTACTGGCCTTGCGGGAGGTCAAACGGGTGCTTAACTCGAATGGATCCATCCATTGTTCTGAGAAATCTGCTCCAGACATTTCCTTCCAATAAGGCTCTCTCCGAGTTGCACCCGCTGTCCTATCTCCTGCTTCCAGCCAAGGAGAAACACCGCTTTGTTGTGCTAAACCACATACTGGCTCCGGGTCAGGCTATGGACACGGCATACACTCCAATATTCCCTTGCATTGAAAGGCCCTGCCAAGACAGGCGGGAGAATTTACGAGCACCACAAGCTAGGAGCAGCTTCCTTTCAGCCAGCCCCCCACAGTTTATCACCCAAAGGAAGGTTATTTGGATAGGAAGATTTCTCTCCGGGGTGTGTGTGTGTGAGAGAGAGAGAGAGAGAGTAAGAGAGGGAGAGGGAGAGAGAGAGAGAGAGAGTAAGAGAGGGAGAGGGAGAGAGGGAGAGAGAGAGAGTAAGAGAGGGAGAGGGAGAGGGAGGGAGAGAGAGAGGGAGAGGGAGAGGGAGAGGGAGAGAGAGAGAGAGAGAGAGAGAGAGAGAGAGAGAGAGAGAGAGAGAATGAGAATCTGTGTGTGGTGTCTACACATAGCTTTTATATTACATTTGCATAGGCAAACAGGGATAATAGGAAGAAAAAGATGTCACCTCTTGGCTCCGGAGAGCTCGTAAGAACCTTTCAGGTTGAACGTAAAGCGTTTGCAACCGAGAGCTCGGAGCTTTGAAATCCTTTGCTGAAGGCGGGGTACCTTGGGGTTGGCAAGGATCTCGACCGACCTCTAGGCCGTTGGGTGATATGCATATCCTTGTCTTCGTTGCGCTTGGTTAAACTGAACTGGCTGTAAAGGTATGCGGGTGCGGTTGTGCCTGTGGATCATCCCAGTAAAATGACGTCGGTGAATTCGCAAAGTGGCCGATAGTTTGAAAAGTGTCCAAGAAGTATATTGATTGGGGCTCCTTTTTAGAACTAATGTACAATGGTAACATAATCACACAAAAAAATGGCCTCTTAGCTGTCAAATTGGGAGTTATTAAGAGCATCCCGGTTAACAGCTACTTTTCTCAAAAGTTTTGAAGCTACATATAATATGTATTATCTCTCCCTCTCCCTCTCCCTCTGTAGTCTGGTAGCGAATTCATCTAGAAACAAGGAATGGTTCGACTTATTCTCTTTCAATGTAAAGTTCTAGGTAGACGCGCCATCTCGCCTGTGTTTTGCTTTGCTGGATTAAAAACCGCTTCTCTCTACTTTATTCGCAGCTCAAATCAACAGTCCGCGGCTTCGCAGAGAAGGAGTGGGTAACCAGGCCGGGTGTGTGTGTGTGTCTGTCTGTCTCTCTCTCTGTGTGTCTTCCAATGCATTACTACGAGAATGGCTTCAAGCAGGGAGGGTGCGTGCCCAGTGAAAAAAACAACAGGGGAGAGACATAAAGGATGCCCACAAAGGAACCGGCTGGGTTTTTCTCCCCTTAATTCTGATGGTCTCAATGGCTGATCGAAAGCCATTAAAAGTTTCTCGAGAACTCTGAATAAAGAGATCCACTAAGAGGCCTCGGGCAGAGATTTGGGGGGGGGGGGGGGGGGGGGGGGGGGAAGGTTTGCATTCTAAATCCAGCCTTCGCTCTGGCCACCTGCAACCAGGCTTCCCATCCGTTGCAGAGCTCCTGTGTGCTTTGGATCTGCCTTGGAAGAAAAAAGCCGCAGCTCTCCACCAATCCGACAAGGTTGTCCTAAGGTCGGCTTGGTCCCAAGGCCCGGAAACAACCCCCCCCCCCCCCCCACGCCCCGCTCCTCTTGCTGGGAGACGCAGCTGCAGATCCCGGGAGTCAGTCCTTAGGCGCTCCGCGGGGGAGAAACGACCGCGAATGGCTCTACAAAAAACAAAAAAAAAAGGGCGAAACAAAACAACTCAAAGCAAAACAAGCGGTCCTCCTTCCTCGCAGCCGTTTCCCCTTTTTCCATGAACCGTCTCCTCCTCCGCACCCCTCCTTCCCGGCTGAAATTAATCTTCCCGGGTCTTCCCCTGCCGAGAAGCGCGGGAGATGCTGGAAGCCAAGTCCCGCCTCTCCGTCCCCCGCCCCCATTTCGGCGCATCCCGGTTAGGAATAAGCTCCTTCCAGCATTGCTTTGCGGCCGGGAGGAAAGCTTAGTAAGGGCGCCTTTGGGTGCTGGGGTCCAGCAGACTAGAGGAGAGGGCGAGTAAGACATGTGCTATATATCCCCTTCCCCGGTCCCTCTCCCGCCTCCGCTGGCTTCCTTCCAAAGGAAAAGGTAACAAACCTCCTAGATTATATATCCCTCGAGGCTGCCTTTGAGCCACGGTGGAATAAAGGCGCGCGAGAAGTGGTGGGATATTGGAAACTACTTTTAAGACTGCTACATCTACTAAGCCGCATGGAACCTGCGTCGTTCCCGGGCTAGGGACGAGCTAAGGCAAAAGCATGGAAACACACACACACACACACACACAAATGTTACCACGGCTTGATTGTGCCCTTCTGCCAATCTTAGTTGAAGCAAAACTCATTCTCATTACTAATATGTTGGTTCATGTTAAGAAATGTTAGTCATTTCTTAATTCTGACCCGCCGCATTTCTTAAAGGCATTATGTCAAGGTAAAGGGTTTTATAGCGCTTCAACGAGGGTGTTACTACTATATGTCTAGTTACTATACTATATTGGGAATGGCCAATAAATGGAGATCCTTGGAGATAGGAAAGATACAACCATCCAAGGCCAGAAGGGCTTCCTTGCTGTCTACTCCCTTTACTCTTCCTGGCATCAGCAGTTCATTGCTAACTATTGGAATCATTTGAAAACCATAAAATCATTACCTGTTGTAATAGCAAATAATACCTCTCTGTGTGAGTGCATTGGTGCTGGCGCATACACCTGCAACCATCTCTAGATTCAACCCAGTGCCTTACCTGTAATTTTGCAAGCAATAAATAAGAATGATTTATTGATGATAAGAGAGAGAGTAATATATTGTTGTAACCTCCACATTAGCAAACTGATTCGTTCCCATATTTCGCATAATTCATTCCTTTGTAAAAAAAAAAAAAATTGGGTTTATCAGCCTGCCCTTTTGGAAGATGGCCTTTTGTAACTTCTTTGCAATCCCATTCTATACTAACTGGCGGAATTAATCCTAGTGAATTCAGTGGCACTAAATCTGCATAGGAGAATTCCCGCCCACCCCTTCCACACCTACTCCCCACCAACTGTCTTGGCTCTACTACTTTCACACCTTGATCCAAGTCAAGTCCAAGTAAAACACTGAGATCGCTCCAACACCCCCCCCCCCCCCACATGCCTTGCCCCGCACGGAAAGGCCAAGCTCAGAGCTGGGCGCGCACACGTGCTCTT